AGCCCAGGGAAGAGAGCAAGGCAGGAGTATGTACAAACATCTGCACAAAAGCATAACATGGCTCCCCTATACAAGGCTTAAAAGAAAGTGGACTTGGGTAAAGCTCATTTAAAGAGTTTTGTTTGTTTGTTTAAAATAATATTCTGGCCCTCTACAGCAATAACCATTATTTTTGCTGGGGGGAAAATAAATCTTCCAATCGTGACTACATTTCCACATGCAAATATATCTGCATGAAGGAGGGAGAGAAAAAGAGAGAGAGAAAAAAAAAAACAGACCTAGTACCGAGGACTATAATTAAATTTATCACCCCAACAACAGGCCAGACATGCATATTAATCTTGTGGCAATTGCAGGAGCAGGGCAGATTAGCTAAACAATAAAGTGTTTGTGTGATTAAAACTGAATTACAAAGCTACTAACGAAGAGGACATTAAGTGCTCTAACTTTAGCTCTTGGCTGGCTTTGACTTCTTGATTTGAATATAAATATTTGATGCATTTTGGGGTAATTAGGAAAACATCATAACCTGTAACTGAGGAAGGTGACTTGAGAGCTAACCTGCCGGGAACAGGTTGAGCTGCTAGGAGGAATGTGAAACACCTTTCTCAAGACCCAGTTACCCTGCAAGTGCACAGGCAGATCCCGTCCTGCTTCTTCCTCCAGCATAGGTTTGTCCCTTTGGTTCACGTTCTATTGCATCAATCTGGTAGAAAATTTTAAAAACACTTAACTGTTTGTGCCTGTTAAAGATCAGCCCTGGTTTACTTTTCCTTTGTAAATAATACATAAAATATTTCTTTTTATGGCCACTCAGCTTTTAACTGTTTCCTTAAAAACAAACGAACAAGAAGATTAATAAGTTGATGAGACAGAATACAAAAAAAAAGCCAAGGTCAGAAAAGGGATGCATTTGTATATAAAAGTATAAAGACTTTGAATTCTTTAAAGTCAGTAAGAAAACTTCCTTTGGATTTCAGTTAAAATATAAAATGCTCGTAATTCCATACTGTCTCACAGCAATCCACAGAATATGCTACCTCTGAGGAGTTGGTGTATTATATCATACATTATCAATGCAAGCTTGATGCTATATTAGGGAATTAAAAACTTATGCTGGAAGGCAGAAGTTCAGTTCTTCTTTCAAAAGGGAAAATATATCCTTGTCAATACTAAAGGAAACTAAAGTTTTACTCATTTGATACTTTAGAGACCATGTTTTAAAACGAAAAATATATCCTTGTCAATACTAAAGAAAACTGAAGTTTCACTCATTTGATACTTTAGAGACCATGTTTGTTACTGCTAATATGACAGAACTAGCTCTTCACATTCATTTAAAAAAAATCCCTGATGACATAAATAATCTTTTTTTTTTCAACTCTTGAATGTTTTGTTGACTTTTGTGAAATTTAGGGAAACATAGGATCTCAAAGCAGCATGAAAAACTGTATGGGGCTGCATTGCACTGACATTTCACCTATCTCACTTGTTAAACTAGTTATGAAAACATATACTTTTTTTTAGAAGAGATTATCCAGTTGCTTAAAGGCTGTCTTTGTACTGCCCACAGAACTGAGACGAGCAATGTCATCCCCAGTCCACTTCAAATCATTCTGCAGAACCAGGCCTAGATGGAAGGGGAAAAAAGCCTATCACCACCTGTGCACATATGCAGTCACTTCCTCTCACCTCAGGCCAAAAATGTGGGCAAATCACAGCACATGGCCTCATCCATCAGGATAAAACAAAAACAAAACAAGATAATTATAGAAGAATGCTTTTGTATTATCTATTCTTTTAAAAATATCTGCAGTTCCACTACTCTTCCTGACTGAAGAGTATTTCTACAAAGTCTAGAGAGCTTCAGGAAAATCATTGTGGTGGTTTCTGAGCTTACGTCTCTTCCAGGGAGCTTTCACTGCAAACAGATCATTGTAAGACACTCTATTCTGTATTCTTGCTTGACTAGCAAGTTTCACTGACATCACTAAACTGTCAAAACAATCTTACTAGCTCAGATGCAGTCCACTTCCAGAGGGAGAGGCTTTGAACTTGTGCTGAAGATGTTTTAATTCTACTGAACAGGAATATTTTCTGATTCCAAAACCCAAGTGAAGTTTTTGAATGTGTACACATCAATGCACTGCTAACACCGAGCTTGCTTATCAAAATTGGATCTGTTACTGGTGCAGTCAATATCTAAGGAAAAAAAAAATGTTTGGGATATTGAACACCATCAGTAGGATTTAAAAGATAAGCCTAAACTGAAAGTTCAGATAACCAAGTACCAAAGCAAAGAATTCCAGGTCTGTGATAGACATATAAACATCTCTAAAAAGCAACACAAACTTAACTTTTTCAAAGTAGAGATAATTTTAAAAAGGCCAATTGCCTAATGCAAAGTTCAGCATCTCTTTTCTGATCTCCTCTTACACATTCTCCTGTCAGGCCATGCTTGCTCCTTTGAGTCTTTGCACCTTTGTGAAGTTGTGCAAGCCTTGAGCAGCCTGTCAAACAGCTGCCCATTTTCAATCAGGATTCATTTAGATGTTCTTTTTCTGTAGCCTCATAGAGAGGCAGAATTTAGACAATGAAATAAAAGGACCTGCAGATTTTCCTGACTGTACATAAAAAGGAGTGTTAAAACACAGTATTTTAATATCCTATGCAGTGAATACAATTGAGAATTGAATAAATTACTTTGCTCAAAGCCTTCTTTTCCTATTAAATTAATCGCAAAATTGACAGGATTAAAGTTCTTCCCAAGATTCAACAGATATAGTTATCAGCAACTGGGACACTAAATCAAGCTTCTATAAAGGCAAGTCAGATAAGTTATTAATAACTTATTTTTCTACATGGAGAATAGTTTTCAAAATATTATGACCCAAATTGTAAAAATGAAACCTCTTCTTTCTAAAATCTGGCAAAAATCTGAAGATTTTAACAAACATCAAGAAAGTATCTTCCCAACTTATTCTGAGAAGAAAAAAAGAAATCTACTTTAATGGACACTTTACAAACGTTTGTTTTTTTATGTTTTATTTTGTTTTTAAAAGACCCTTCCTCTAATTGAAAACTTTCAGTGGCACAAGGAGGTTGGATACTCCATTAATTCTCATAACAGTAAAATTATTTCCTCCATGAATAAACATTGTAAGCAGAAACCATATATTTGATATCAACCCCTCCAATTTTCTATATATTTTATATTTCAGGTTCATTTGCTTTTTATTTCAACAGAAATCATTTGCAAATGCAGATAATCCTCAATGCCCTGATGCATTGGAAAACATCTCAGAAACTTGTGCTGTTTTAAACTAGCTCTAAGTCTATTGTTTGTCCTTGAAACTACTCTTCCCTTTTGAATTGCATGTGAGGATCTAACGATCAAGTAATATCAAGACCTGAGCAAAACCGTTAAATTCTTGGTTCCAATTATGAACAGCAGCAAGAATTCAGAGGTTACTTTATAAAATTAGTTTTTTCTTTCATAATTTTTTCTTGTCAGAGTTTTCTTGTGGTGGACAATTTTAAGAACTAAAGGATGGCAAATGCAATTAAGATAGAAATATTCAAAGTTCTGTTAGTACATAATGGATGTTGAAGATTTCTGCAGGAACAGTCAAATTTAAACTATTGGATCAATTAAAGAAATTTGTATGTGCTCCTTCAACTAACATTTTTGAGTACCTTTAAAATAAAAAAGATGTTTTAAAGCTTCAGCTATTTTATCCATTGCTTTAACCCTTAGAAGGGTTAGCTCAACATGTTATACACATTTTATAAGGAAAAAATCCTAATTATTTTTGCTTCACTAGAAAACAGTATTCCAAAACAGAACTCTCAAATATCAGCATGAACAAAATACTAAATACTTTGAAGTCTTGATGCTTTTATGGCTTTTGATATACCAGAGCCATCAATTTTTACAGGCAGATACAAAATTTACCACCTGAAAGGCAGCATAAAGAGTTAAATCCAAAAATTTAGCTAACTGAAACAATTAAATGAGATTTTTTTTTTTTGTCCCTCAATGGCATTAAAAGCCACCATTCCAATGCATTCCCTACTGCACTGGCTGAATCTTTTGCCATTCAGAAGATAACAAAGAACAGAAGAAAAATGGCACGCAGATGGCAGTTGATAGGCAATTGATGGGCAGTTAATAGGCTACAATGCATGGCTAGAATGATGCTAAGCTTATCGGTCACAAAGGGAGCAACAATTAATAAATGCTTGGAAAGTGCATTTATTAGAAAGTGCATCATACAGGATACACTTTGTTATGATGTGCTTTTAATAAAGTGGATGGTTAGACCTACTGTTGAAGCTTCCTGCTTTTCTTCTGTAATTTGTACTCTTCTCCAAGCCTTCTTCTCACAAGAAAAAAGTCACTTTTTTATTAAAAAAAGAGTGAAGGTGTTTATAACAGAAGCTCTACTTCTTACCAAAGCAAGCTGCTGAGAGCTTTTAATCATTTGTGTCACCTAAATCTCTTAAAATTCTTCCTCTTTTTGAGGAAAAATATTGTACAATTACTAATTTAAGGTCCTCAACCTTCAGTTTTGGAGGACTTCTTACAGAAATCTGTTTTACTTTTGCATATCTTCCAGGGGACCTCTTGCCGGGCTTACATTCTGATAAAGGTTTGCAATTAATCTCTGGATTTCATTACCAGTTTGTCTGCTTAATAACAGCAGGCTGCCAATCTTTCTTTTTTATTTTTTTTTTCATTTACTTTGCTATAAATGCCTCAGCATTCCTTGAGCTTGTAATTTCTGCTAGTTGATTGGGTAGCATCACTAATGAACAGCCTCAGGTGAATCAAAAATAAATATTATAAATTTGAGCAATCATTTCTTTGTCCTTTCACCAGCCAATAGCAGCAGTAACTAGTAGAGACCCATCAGTGTTCCACTACCATACAGATTTTCAACATACCAGAGTTTTATCAATAAAACATCGCTCTGTTACCAAGCTGATCAAAGTGCATTAAAGTTCCTGTTTCTTTCCACTGATCACAGTGGGATCAGATGCAACAGGAACTTTATTAGTTTCAGCAAAAACAGATTCAAAAGCAGCTTCCTGATCCTCTAAAGCCGCAGGAGCAGTGGATCCTTTAATTGATGTGCTGGTAAAAACTGACTGTTGCTCTGCAATCTTTTCCAGGTCCACTGTTTTCCTACCTCTCCTTTTGCCGAGTATTTTGATGTAATTAGCTGGCACAAGTCCTGTTGTTTGGCCATCGTAACTAGCCAAAAGCCAACCACGGATTTTGGGTTGTTGTTCTGAAGAAGAAAACACAAACACATTAAGTTACAAAAACGATGCAAGATACATTTCAGTTGAAGCACAAATACATCAGCAAGTAGATTATGCACCTAATCCTCACACACACAAAATAACTTTGTAGTTAAAGGCCTGTCTGAATTGTTTCTTAAGAGAATCACTAGGAACTGCACTGTGAGGTGTTCTGAGGTTTTCTGATATTGATGACACCACAATATTACAAGACCCTAAGGATTTTAACAGCTGTGCAGTGTGTGTGAAGAAGTTAACTGCAAGGATAAACACAGAACATCCCCTAGATAAATTATTAGGTTGTTTGTATTTTAGGGAAATTGAACGGAACTACTCAAGTTTTATTAAAACACACAACTAAAAGCTGGTAGGAATGAGGAGTAATTTTTTTTTTCTTTCTCTGACCTTAACAATATAGCTGACTTCACATACAATTAGAAAATAAATGTATAATTAAGCATTTACCTTTGGGTGCCAATTTTAGCATGTCACCAGCACGGAAAGAAATTTCTTCTTCTGAAAGAGCATTGAAGTCATACTCTGCTCTTCCAACTACATGATCATCTTCTCCACTTGCCCAGTTACTAGAAACTGTTTCCAAAAACAACAACAACAAACACCTTAACTTTTCTAACAGACAACTGAAAGGAGTAAAACACTAAACAAGAATTTGTTTTTGTTTTTGTTTTTTTTTGACAATGCAATTCCCAGTCCCATCAGTGCTTATCTGTGCAATTGCCAAAACTAATAGAAAGGAAAGAGCAAAGTCACTATTTTGGAAGCACAGAAAGCATTCTGTGAAACTGAATCCTAGCTCAATACTGGGCTATTTAAATAGCTGCTACTTGTATCACGTGCCTAAAACTCTGTATTGGGCCCCAGTATCTATTAAATTTTATTACAGTAATATAAGACTAATAGCTATTCATGTAAAAATATGCTGAACAGTGTTTTCCACACCCTCTGCTCTCATGCTGCTGATCATTTTTACCTGTTTCTTCATCGCTGTATGTAGAAAGCAGTTTCCAAATCAGATAGGGACCTCCCAGTATAACAGCAAAGAACAAGAAAATAGGCCAGGATTTTGCAGAGCTGGCTGCCTTGTCTTCAATACCAGCACGAGCCACCGTTCCCTCGCTCTCAGCCCACAAATCCTCATTCTCAGAGCTCTTCCGTAGACCTAGTAACCGCTGTAGGCGTTGGTAGAGATATCTTATAGTTCTCACTAAAGCAAAAGCTGAAAACACCTTTGTGAAGTGTATTTTGAGGCGGGAGAAGTGATTGGCTACATCTAGCACAGCTCTGAAACTGTTGTACACGGCTGAAAATGTAGCATCCATCATCATGCTGACCGAAGCGAATGCATGCACAATACTTTCAATGGACTGAAAGGCACCTCTGCTGCTCTCTTCAGCCTGCCGAACAAACCTGCTGGGAGGGATATCATCCGTGCGAAAGCGATTATAACCCAGGCCACCATATCCATAATTGTAAGGACTATAGGTTCCATAAAAAGAGTTCCCATATGAGCCATAGCCTGGAGAAAAAGAACTACTGTAGGTTGGCCTGAAAGTGCTCAGGCTACTGCTTCCCGTCTGCTGCGATGGTCTTGGCAAAATCGGCGGAGGTATTCGTGCCACCGGGGGTTGTCCTGGCCTCGTCGGCAAGTTTTCACCCAAGTCAGCAGACCTACACAAATCCAGACAATCGGGATCAGTACTCAAAATAAACTTATATCCTAATTTTCCCAGAGTTCTTGGTAAACTCTGCAATAAGGCAGCGCATGCTGATAAGATGGGGAGCCCAGTAGCTGAATACACAGTGCGTGTTGCATAATGTTTGCGCAAAATAAGCTTTGGTCAGGAAATCCAGGTCTTTCAGAGGAAGAAAAAAAAAAAAGATCATAAGACATTTGGTGTCCTGGTGGAACCACAGCTTAGCTGAGATATACCCATGGAAAAAGTGTTAAAGCTATTCATTGCACTGATGAACAAAGCATAAAAAGCTGCATCTGGATTTAAAATTTATGCTGTAATACTCAAGAGACTTCTCTGTGCACAAGAGCCTCACTTATGATCTACCAAGAATACTTATGAATATGCCAATGCAGAACCTGTTTTATTTCCAGCACTTGTTTTTGGCTTTTCTCTCTAACAAGCCCACTGTACACCAGGACCTCCTTTGAGCCCAGCCTTAGGGAAAAGCATGTGTGACCTAAATGAAAATCCAAACAGTTATAAAACAACATCTGGAAGCGTTCTGGGTCCTCCAATTGCTCCCTCCTCCCATACTAATTATTTTTATAGAGCACACCTGGGAATCAATTTATCACCATTACTACTTGGCAGAAAGAGAAATTATGGGGCAGATTTTTTTTCTTAATTAACTTTTATCTCTTTGCATGCCCATAAGTCCACATTATTTTCTCTATGCCTTGCAGCAGGGCTCTGCAAGCAATACGACGGGTACTCGACCTGCACGAAGCAGCTCTCCCGCTGTTGCTGCCTCATGAAAAACCAACCGCGCAGAACCCCCCTCAAAGCCAAACATTTTCCTCAGCTCCCGCGGGCCGCGACCTTTGAGCCCCCGCGGCCTCTGCGCGAGGGACGCGCGCGGGCAGCGCCGGCCCGGGGAGGAGGCGGCAGGAGGGCCGGGGGCGGCGGCGCAGACACTCACTGGAAGGCGGGCGCCACAGTG